ATGGCGGTGCGTTTGTGTGACTTCCTGCTGAGGATGTGCCTACAGTTACACTATAGCCGTCCTCACCATTCAACAGGCTGGGGAGGGGAGCAAAAACAGAAGAATGTCTTTGATCATACAGTTTAAGGCAAGACTTACAAATTTAAGTACAATGATGACAACATTTAACAATTTCAACCTAACAGTAATCATGATAAAGAGAAGATGACTGTTATATTGATGCAGCAAAGAGAATGGGAGGCCTAAAATTTCCAGTAAATATATTGTTTTCTAAAAGCTGGCTGCCACTTTTTATGTGTTTGTGTATGAAAGTTAAATTGTGTGAATATAGGGCTTAAGGTCCAGTGTGTGTTATCTGAGGGCATCAGGGCAACCTGTTCTCACTAATACTTTCACAAAAATTAAAGCAAAGAAAGTGAACAAATTGCTTTAGGATTTGGGTTGGAGGTGCAAGTTTCACAATAAAGAGACACTAGATCATGTTCTGTTCGGGAATGGGCAGTTTATTTTGCACTCACTTCTTGCATTCATTAGCAACAATAATAGTTAAGTGGAGTTGGTTTGGGTTAATGTATGAATATGAATACCGCCCACTTTCACTCTGTTAATTTAGCAGTAATTGGCTCTTCGCTTTTTGGCTAGCTGCACTCAAACGGGAAAATCCAGGTGTTAGTCATAATGTTTGAGTTTGAAAAGCATTTTATAAACTGAGAAAAATATGAAGAAGAGCCTGTTTGGGTCACCAGACCAACAAGCTGGAGTCCACACTCCAGCTTTTCCTCACCAGGTCGGGTATACTGTGTGCAATCAGCTATTTTATGCACTAAAATATTCTCTCTTTTCCCAACATACCAAACAATAACCTGTATAACAGGTTACTACACGAGTTTCACACCTAAACCATAACTGTTCCTTACAAGACACAATTGGAAATCCTAACATCCATCAGCATATTGCAAACAACAACAACAACAAAAAAAGAAACAACCCCCCCCCCCCTCCAATTACAGTCTTCTTCAGTTACATTTGAGTAAGTAATCCAAAACAAACTTGACGAAATATGACGGAAATAAGAGAATGCAGCGCTCTTATTTTCACCGAGACCTGGCTTTCAGATAAAATCCTGGAATGGGACGACACGTGCTGCGTACTCACTCTCTTGCATTCAGATCAAGCAATGAGATGGAGTACAAAGCTGTGAAGTATGGACTGAGGAAAGCTATTACAGCAGCTAAGAGGCAGTACAGAGGGAAGCTGGTGGGCTTCTATTCTTCTGCTGACCCCAGGCGGATGTGGCAAGGCATGCAGCACATCACGTAGTATAGGGCTACCACCAACACCATCGGCTGACCTTCCAGACCCTCCAGACCTCCCAGACCTTCCCAACCTCCAATACCTTTCAGAACCCCCAGATCACCGGACCCTCTCCCCCGCCAGTGGGCTCATAGACCAAGTACACAAGGTCCTGAGGATGATCAACCCCCCGCAAGGCAGCAGGACCAGACAACATCCCTGGACGGGCCATTAGAGCATGTTCTAACGAGCTGGCTGATGTTCTCACATCCATCTTCAACCTTTCCCTCAGCCAGAGCATCGTTCCCACATGCTTCAAGACCACAACCATCATCCCTCTCCCCAAGAAAAGCCCAGAGATCACAGATCAGTTGCACTCACTCCAATCATTGCAAAGTGTTTTGACAGAGTAGTGCTGGCCTACATCAAGGGCAATATTCCACACACTCTGGATCCTCTGCAGTATGCATACTGGCCCAACAGGTCTACGTCAGACGCCAATGCTGCTGCCCTTCACCATTCCCTCTCCCACCTGGAAAATAATGATTCCTACATCAGGGTAGTCTTTGTTGACTACAGCTCTGCCTTCAACACAGTCACCCCTCACAAACTCATCCATGAACTGTCTACACTTGGCCTGCACCCCACCCTCTGTGACTGGCTACAAGACTTTTTGGCTGGCAGGCCTCAGTCTGTCAGGATTGGCAACAGGACTTCAGTTAGCATTACCACAAACACTGGCGTACCACAGGAATGCATCCTCACCCCCATCCTCTACACCCTGTACATCCACGACTGCGTCACCTCCAACAAAAACAACATCATACTGAAGTTTGCGGGTGACACTGCAGTGATCGGTCGCATCATTGGTGGGGACGAGGCGGCTTATAGGAGAGAGGTGACTAGTCTGGTGTCATGGTGTGAGGACAACCTCACCCTCAACACTGATAAAACAAAGGAGATGATAGTGGACATGAGGAAGAAGAAGAGGCCTCACCAGCTGCTGTTTAGAGTGAAGTGGAGAGCGTGAGCAGCTTTAGGTACCTGGGCGTCCACATCAGTGAGGACCTCACCTGGACACTGAACACCACACAGCTGGTCAAGAAGGCTCAGCAGCGGCTATATATCCTGAGGAGGCTAAGGAAATTTGGTATGTCGGCCAAGATCCTTAACAGCTTCTACAGCTGCCATGTGGAGAGCACATTGACCAGCTGCATCATTGCATGGTACGGCAAACACCTGGAGAGAGTGATAACAGCTGCGGAGAAGATCATCAGGACTCCCCTGATCACTATGCAGAGCATCTACCATCGAGTCCAGAGGAGAGCTGCCTCCATCCTCAAAGACTCCACACACCCTCAACACGTACTGTTCACACTTCTACTCTCGAGACGAAGGTTTAGAAGTGTGAAATCCAGAAGGTCCCGACTCAACAACTCCTTCTTCCCCACTGCCATCAGACTCCTGAACAGCTGACCTACCTGAACTGCAATGTGCACATCAGGACACTTTGCACACTAAATTCATTTTGCAAATTAAGCTCCTTTGTACATGCATCTACATCGATATCTGCATACGACATCACTTGTCTCAATCACTTGCTTTTTTAAACTTATTTATTTATCTTTCATTATTTTTTTCCTTATTTTTATATTTATTCATCTTAATATTTTGTCTTATTTTTATCCTTATTTATCTTGTTCCTTTAACCCTTACCTAACTTGGCATTCGTGTATGGACAGCAAAGGAAGAATTCAATTGCACAGAGAAATGCTATTTCTTCTGTAAACATGACAATAAACACTTTGAATCTTTGAATCTTGAATCTTGAACAATGGGAAGAAAAATATACCAGGGTTCAGCCTGTCAGCAATGAATAAAAACATATCCTTGAAAAATGTAACTGGGTGGTTGAAGCCCCTATTTACAGTATTTTATTTCTATTTTTTTTCTTATTTTTCAGAGAAAATGCCCATGTGATTTCTGTTATCATTTTTTTCTCCTCTGAGAGAAGGCTACTGCTGGTTTTGTTCTTCTGATTTGACAAAAGAGTACACACAGTCTGCATAGTCACTCTTCTTCTTTTTTCCTTCTCTCATCTTCCTTGTAGAGAAATCCAACGGTGCATAGTTAACATCTTTTTCTTCTCCATCCTACAGAAATATATTTGTTAATAAAAAAACATTTTAGATTTTCTTTATTGTAGCTATATTATCAACTCAGCAGTCAGAAATACAGCATATATGCAGACTAGATGATCACATAAGGCAGAAGGGGACTGAAGACCTGCTCTGGCAACAGTAAAGCAGAGAACAGCACATTAACAGCAGCTCGAATTTTGCTAGATTTGGAGAGAGCTCAATCTTTTGTCTTTTATATGTTAGAATGGGCTAGCAGCTTTGTGTGCTCTTGTCAAATATCATGTGTCTTGTATGGAAACTTTTCTTCTGGGCTGCTGTTCTGTGTTTTTTGTAGTGAAAATGTAGCTTTCTTATGTTTTACAATTACAAAAACAATTTGGAAAAACAAAAATTAATATTTACCAAATCATTTGTCGGATTTGCAACTGACTTGTTATGTCCCAGACGATGAGAAACACTTGTTGCTCCTGTTAATAAAATCAAAGGCTGCATATCAGTCTGTAATAGTTTTCATTCTCTAAGAAAAAAAATGAACAAATATTTTTTTAAATACTTTTTAACCCTGGTGTATAATGTATGCACATGTTATGCTGAGGAGAGCTGTGAAAGAGTTTTGCTCAAGGGCATCTGGATTAATGAACCTGTGGTTGTAACCTAGCCAAGGACATCCAGGTTGGCAGTAAATCTCTAAACTTTTAACAACATTTATGAAATAATGGAGCCTAATAATTGATTTTGAGAATTAGTTTTACTATTAAAAAACAGAATTTAAATAAAAAAATATTACTGCAGTAGAATCATATTAATATATTCTAGATATATATGCAAATAATATAAATGTGAATCTATAATTAACCTTTGAAATGACAATAAGTCATGCAGGAAATGAGGACGATGATTACAGTCACAGAGCAGATCAACAGTCCTCCAAGAGTAAGAATCAATGGGTCCACTTCAGTTCCTGGAAGAAGAGAAATGTAATGGTAATGCTAAATTGCTTAACCGTTTGTTTCCTTCCTCAGAATCTTACCTTTGTAGACAGACAAAACACATTTTTTGGCAGAAAGCTGAGTATAATAATATTTGATGAATTTCTGTACAGGGAGTACAGAATTATTAGGCAAATGAGTATTTTGTCCACATCATCCTCTTCATGCATGTTGTCTTACTCCAAGCTGTATAGGCTGGAAAGCCT